TGCGGTTTCAATCGCCTTTGTGCAGAAAATCAATCATGCATGCATTTGGGTACACATATCAATGTTACACATCATTGAACAAGCTGCTGACAATAACATCAATTTCAATCTATGTAAAGCAAAATAATTGCTAAATTTCTTCCAGGATTAATTGATTTTAATCATAATCTTTAGGTTTCATACATTTACAAATAAAACACTTAAAACTGAGTATTAAAGAGATAGAGACACAAATATTAATTAAATTGACATGTCAGTAAAAATAATACTTGGCAAAATTAACAATTAAGAATGTTTCAAAAGCCCCAATTTTATTAGGAAAATGCATTTAGAGTATCCCAATAGTATGGGAATATCCTTACTCTATAAATTTAAGATCTATTAAAAGCTAATTCTGGTGGAAAATAGTGTAAACAAAAGTTCAAGAGAGCCTCGTCATCGCGAATATTTCAAGCCGCGAACCGGTCCTTATAGTATATTTGTCTTTTAAAAATAGATGCAAAAAGGCTTGATCGCGAAAATTAATCGTCGCTAACCAGTTTATCCCTGGTAAATCGCGAAATAAAGTCGTCGCGATTATATTAAAAAATACACCACTATACATTATAAGGGATATAATGTATAGTGGTGTATTTTTTTAAAAATTTTTTTGTGGAGCGATTGTTTTGGGGTTTTGACGATTTTTTCATATTGTGCACACGATGAATAAGTGTAATAAATATAATTTTTGAAAGAAATGTCCAATAAGCCCCGGGGTTGAATATCGGAAAGGGGGGAGGGGGTCCTGTCCACAAGTACCTCTGTTCTTATATTGGTAAAAAGGTGAAAAGTATAATAAACTTTCAGGCAATTTGTTTGTCTAAACTTAAATACCATGAATCCGTAATTATAAATTAAAGAAAATCGGACCAAGCAACTTTAACAGAAAAAAGGTATTAGCTCAGGTTTTGGGATAAATTTAAGTAATTAAATTTTTATTTCGTTTGTTTTTTTTTTTTAAAGTAAGTTGGGGTGTGGAGCACAGCAGCCCCGCTTGCAGGCAAAGATCCTCAATTAGAATACTATTTGAGAAAAGTTCAAGAAATTTCACTGTCCTGTGCAGGGCCGAATATGGGCCTTATAATTCCCAATAGCAAAATTGATCTCTACCATCAACCAATAAAGTAAACCATCGAAGTTCTGTTTTAAAAAAAAGCAAGACAGGGTAGGAAAATCTGAAGAAAACATTTTAAGAAACTTGATTAAAACTTTATTATAAATGACCTATATTTTCTGATAGATTTACAATTCAGAATAATTAAGTGATAAGATCAATTTATTCATCATAGATGTGTCTCTCTTGAAAAACATGATGTATTATAATTTCCCAATGAAGTGAATAATTGTTGTTTAATTCCCAATTCAAGGGACCTAAGCCAAATTCCCGAAATGGGGTGGAAAATCCCTGTCTTTTAGTGATTTACAACTTAATAACAATCCCTTAAATTGCTAAGTAAAGAGCAAGAGCCATCTTATGCAAAAAAATGGCCCTGTTCTTATATCAATTAATAAACCATCACCCTCTTTCCCATTTCATATATTAAAATAAAGTAGACACGTTGTGCTTTCATTTCCTATGATAACATTTTTTTGAGAATCAAGATATTGGGAAACAGGCTTTGAGAAATTGCAATGTTCTTGAAATTTGCAGAAAATATGGGTATTTGACTACTTTCAGCAAAGAATTAAAATATGAGCACACCCCACGATCCAAAAAATAAAACATGTTTTTTGATCTTCAAAAACAGAGCTTTCATGATGTATTTGCATATTTTGGATCGGAGGTTGTGCTCTATATGAAATATTGAAAAAATGCTTCAACTTTAGGTCATTTTCAAAGAAATTTACAGGATACGAGGAAAATGACGCATTTTATGACGTCATAATGCATTGACTAGATGTAAAATTACGTCACAATCAATAGATACGTTGTCACCAATACTCCAAGTGATAAATACTGCATTTGCAACCTAAACTGAGCGGTTTTGATTTTTCAGAAATTCTCAGAGCCAAATAAGGCCCAACTTGGCTCTTGATATTTTAAAATGACGTTAACTTCTTTTCGTAAATTTAAGAACAAACCAAGTAAAAAAATTATCAATGGTTGCACATTTTAGTAATACAAAATTTATGCATGAATTTTGACCATCAAAATATGAGCAAAATGGGAAATGGGTTCCATTAGCAGTACAGGGGAATTTTGGACTAAGACAATCGCAGGCGGTAGTATCGATTACAAATAAATAATACAACAGGAAAGAGTAGATAAAATAATCAAAACAATTAGACTGTTATGCTGTTTTCACTGGAAGGTAATTTTAACGTAATATCTTGCTTTAAAGCCGGCAAACCTAAGATTTGACAGCTGCAACCATGATATAGATGCTTAAAAAATAAAGCTGGTCCGACTTGTAACAGGATGCCAGGTTTTTGAACAGACCAATGAATACCATAAACACTATTTTTTTTTACGGGTTGCAACAATTTATGCCATTCAACTGACTTCCTTTTTTCAAAACTGTATGCACTATATTTTTGACGTCAAGTACAATATAATGACGTAACAATGGAGATATTCATACTCATCCATGGTAGTTCATGAGCCTGGTCCCCTGTCTCATCCTTGCCAAGGCAGGAGAGCCAGGTGGATTAGATTCTATGCTTTCCATTGATTGGTCAGAACAATGCGCGCTAAATCGTGGGTTTTTGAGCCGTTGCCGTTAACCACGGAAATAAATATCGATGTAACAATGACACATTACGTCGACGACGTAGAAAATACGACGTCACAATGAACGTCTTCACCGGAAGCGTTGCCATTTTCGCCCTAAATCCATTGTACTCCACCTGGCCCTAGTGACGCGGAGTATACGAAGCAAAACAGGGACAGGGAACCAGGCTAGGTAGTTCATGAGAATATGAACAGTCTTCTAAGTAACAAAGAACCTTAAAGAAAAATATTTGGAAATATAAATATATACCTATGAGACAGTAAACAACTACCAGCTTAATATTCCCCAGTTACGCACAGGACAGGATCCCAATTTAAACCGCATCCCTCCGCGTTACAAAGCGTTACAACGTCGCGGGTTTTGATACAAATAAAGATAAGGCGGACGAAGTGCCTATAGTGTGACAAATATGAAGTGAAAAATATTAAAATCTCAATTCTATCCAAATTTTCTTTGATTTTTCATCTAAAATTAAAGTATACTTATTATAATAAAAATATATACAATGTACTTATTATTATAAAAATATATACAATGTACAAAAAACTCACAGACTTAAATTATTTGTTAATATGAAAAAAGGACACACACATTAAAAAGAACAAAGAAAAAAATTATTTTCTCACATTTTTACAATTTTTTTCAATTTTTCAATATGAGTGGGTCTTGCTCCACTTTTTGAAAGATAACCCTAAAAGTTTGCGATAAATATACATTTTTTTTTGTTCACAAAAACAAATGGAGCAAAGACCCACCAAAAGCTACACTTTTATGACATAACATTCGCAACATTCCTAGAAATAAGTCACAGGTCATATCCCAAACATGATCTAAATGCCTTAACTTGTTGTGAGCCATGTAGCGTCATGTGTTAGACTCAGAAAGAATATTTGATGCTACCGATTTTTGTTGCTATAGAGTTCGAATACACACGAATATCAACTTAATACTTTTTATCGAGGAATAATTTTTCCTAGATTTTATTTTCTCTCAGAAAGGTTTATTCATCATAATTTAATAAATTTCAATAATGAAAACGTAATTAGAATTCTCTATTCACAAATTGAATATGATTTTTTAATATCTGAAGCTAAGGGCATTCTACATGTCTTGTTTCCCATCTTAAATTCTTTCTAAGTTTAAAGGAAGGATCCATTTTCATATTATTAAGAAAGAAAAGAATTGCTTCCAAATTTTAGTAATGAAAAATGATTACCATGTAAAACAGTTTAAACTGGAAATTTAATATTTCCATTCATGCAGTACGTATATGAAATATAGAGAGATAATGGTGACGAAAAGTATTCACCATCAAAAGTCTGCTGAGTTTTTATCAAACGTCAACATGTCCAAAAATTGTTTTTACTAAAGCTCCAAAACAATGTGGGGTATAAAGTTAAAACTTCAACCTGGATGTATTTCCTTTTTTTTTCATAATATCATTAAAATTGATCATTACAAGAAAAGAAAAAAAATCAAAATTAAAATCTACCCTCTTTTATGCATCATTAAATATCATTGATAGAATTTAACAATGAAAACGAAAATGTAAACAATGATTGGGATCAGTAAGTGACTTCTTTTATTTTTTGAGACAAATTTCCCTGATCATGCTGATGCACGCACCATAGAGAAATTACTTGGAGGTCATCATAACTTGAAAATGATCTCGATGCAATAGTGATTACGCCTTAACATTACCCCATTTTCTGGTTAGTACCGCAAAGAAAATCCGCAATGGCATAACGCGGGGGGATGCGGTCTTAATCGAGATCCTGTTCTGTACATAACTGGGGAAGGTTAATCTGGCAGTTGTTTACTGTCTCATGGGCCTATATATACCCGTCCACAAGAAACACGCCGTTACTCCAGCCAGCAACACGGAGGAACATCAAGCTTCCATTGAAGAGGTATCGCATTTACATAGAATTCAATATTTATTACTCGCATTGATATTTGATAGGATTTACAATTTAAAACTGAAATCATACAGCTTTATTTTGAACATCCCATTATAAGAAAATTATACAAGCTTTTCTTCTAAGAAATCAAGTGTTGGATGATTTTTGAAAATATTTCTTGTACGTATATTCTCCTATAACATGTAAATAGACGTTTATTTTAATTAGATATACATTTGATTGTTAAAAAAAATAAAGTCCTGATTTTGCCTGAAATTGGTTGGATTGCTTTTGTATAAAAATAATCTAATATTCATTTTATTTTTTTAGATTTTAGCATCCAAGTATCAAAATAAGAAAAAAAAATGGCTGAACAATTAGGTATGTTTTCCAGTATAAATAATTATATATTTTCATCCCTACTCTCTCCCTTCTCTCTCTCTCTCTCTCTCTCTCTCTCTCTCTCTCTCTCTCTCTCTCTCTCTCTCTCATGTTTTAAATTCTATGTTGTTTTTATCAATGTTTTGTTCTTGGTTCACTTGTAGCAGCTGCTTTTTATTTTTAAATTCTTAAAAAATGTTAACAAACAATTGTGAACAAGAAGTGAATTGCAAAGACATTGCTTGTCTGTAGTACAATTCTTATTTAGCTTGCACTCTCAGAAAGACTTGGCATTCTCGACGTTACATAATAAGCGTCTGAAATGTGCTCAGCTTTCGTTCACTGCATGTTGAAATATACATGGGAAAGAAATTCGGGCGAAGTCAACGAGTGTAGCAAATAGTTAATAACGGTGTCTAGTACGGCAAATAGGTGTGGCTTAAGTCTTCTCATCGTTGTCAACAACAATTTAAAGTTCCTGTTGTTATTAATTTCTTAACCAATGATAATCTATTAGACAATTGACAGACGCTAATTACGAAGCGCCGAAAATGCCACTCCATACTATAAGTCCAAGGTTAACTGAGACTTGTACTAAAACGTTACCTCTACATTGGTATGTGGTGCACTTTGGCTGTAACACATGCAGATAACTGAACACTGCAGTATGCTAATAGTATATTGCAATTTTTTTTTCTTTTTTTAAGTTTCATAAGATTTTGTTGGGTTATACTTGTATATAGATACATGAATGTAAATAATTCGGTGTTATTACTTTGAAAGCATTTACATATCTGCAAAGGTTAAAGAGTATATGTAACAAATATCAAACCCTTTCCTTTGTAAATGTTCACCATTAATCACCAACTTTGGTTAACTGAGCCTTCTATTATCTGAAAGGTATTTTTTCTTATTCTCTATACTGTATGTATTAAAAGTTATACTCAATTCACAAGAAATAAAAATTTATATGATAAAAAGAGTTCAAAGTCTTAAAGATGTCTTATATAATTGTCTGCTGATTGACCAGTCCACCCTTAGACAGCAATTTCAATTCACTTCCCCTTTTTTCTTTCTTGTATACGGTTGAATTTTGTGTTTCGTACATGAAATGAACGATATGGCGTTATCTTATCTTATATTGAACAAAACGTTTATTGTAATATTTGTATAATTTGCTTTAAAGATCAAAATATTGGCACTTCCCTATATATAATCCTTAAGTAAATGCATCTCTGTTTTGAGACGGTCCCATAAAAATACCTGGGCGGCAGATTTTCCCTGTTCTTGGCATGTACATGAAATATATGAAGATAATGAATAGTATTCAAGTTCAGAGGTCGATTAAACAATACAAAGTATGCACAAAGCACAGCGCTGAAGTCAATGTAAGTAAGATATGATCTAGAATAAAAGAGTTTCTGTTAGTATTGTAGTTTTCTCACAACCCCAGACGGCTCCCTTAAATCTGAATAACTTCCTTTCTTTAAAAAAAAATGACGAATCAGAGCATAAAAACTTCAGAATATGAATCGAGAAGATCTTTCAATTAGGTCCACTCAGCATAGCAGCTTGTTTACATGTACAAGTATATAGCTTTTATTTATCATTTATAAGGTGTTTACAGTACCTTGATTTTTTTATAAGGTGAGATGAAGAAGGAAGTTTTGGCAGAACTGGAAAGGGTAGCAGATCTCAAACAATTAGATGAAAAAGAAACAGAGTTCTTGCATCAGATGGTGGAGAACATCATCAAAGATGGTTCGGATGAAATAAAAAAGTTTTCTTGGCTTCCTGAAGATATGAAATCAGCTTCAGACGAGGCCATTCTCACTTCTCTTGAACAGCAGCTGAGTCGTGAAGAGAATCTGCTTCTGAATCACGCATTACATCTGGAGACCTTTACCATGACCCTGGAACCCGCTAATTCACCCAAAACTGCACGTTTTACAAGAGGGGGGAGGAAATTCTTGCAAGACATCAATCTTTCTACATCAGATGGAACCCCTACAGCCATAAAGAAGCAATTAACAAGCATCCTCGTGGAGATCATTTTGCTGGTAATGTCCTCCGTTGGCTTAAAAATTTCTTATACAGACGAGCAAATGAATGCTGTCATCGACAAGGTCAGTCAGTTGCTTACTGATAACATTCAACAGAAGATTGAGGAGTTTGTCAAGGATTGGCCGAAAGCAACCACTGTCATGGCCAAGGCACAGCTAGTCTTTAATCTGCTGAAATCCTTAGCAACAGGTGGTACTGGCCTTGTGATGAAAATTGGCTATGCTATAATTTCCCAATTGTCATGGTGGGAAAGAATGAAGATGATTGCTAAATTTAAGGTGGCCTACGACAATGCGATGAAAAATCCATCCGCAACGATAGCAAAAATAGCAAAGTCGTTGACAAGTGCACCTGGCATCATTGAAAAGAAAGTATTTAATGTGTCTGCCTTGAAGAATCTTCCACAAAAGTGATCAGTTTATTGTTAAGAGACAATGACAATAATTATTGTTTGTTTAATAAAGTTTTATTATTATTATTATTATTATTATTATTATTATTATTATTATTATTATTATCAACTGTTATTATTATATACTTTCTGAAACATATATAGATAAATAAATAAAACTTTATTATTTACAGTCGTCAATGTTTAAATTTCAAGAAAAAGAACGAAATGAACATTAAAAGGATATGAAGATATTGAACAGTATTTGATATCAAAGTCCTTAAAACAATACAAAATGGGAGAAGAGCAAACATGGATCTCGATAGGAATATGACCAGGGAAAAAAAGCAGAAATCAGTTGTTTATCATTGAAAAGTTTAAACCCAATATTGGTTCCAACCAATCCTTAAAGGGGACAGAGTATGATTTGAACAAAATTGAATCTACAACAAAAAGGATGCTTGCATATTTCTTCCACGACCTGTGGACTTACATTAAGGCCCCGCCCTACCTCCAGGGGGTCATCATTTGAACAAACTAAAATCTACACTAACTGAGGATGCTTCCATATGAATATGACTCATCATTACTTTCCCATTCTTTGAATGATTTTTAAAGATTTTTTTCTGCACGTTTCTATGTAAAATTTTGATTCCATGTTGTGACCCTGCCCTACTCCCAAGGATAATGATTTTAACAAACTTTAATCTACACTACCTGAGGATGTTTTCATATAAATATAACTTATCATGACTTTGCTATTCTTGAGAAGAATTTAAAAAAAAAACATTCCATATAACTTTGATTAGTCATTGTGGCCCTTCCCTACCCCTAGTAGTCATGATTTCAAAAGCAAACTTGAATTTCCACTACCTGAGAATGCTTCCAAATAAATATGATCATTCGTACCCTTGCTACTCATTTCCCAGAATTTCCCTAGACATTTCTATGTTAAAATTTCATTGGCCATTGTAGCACCGCATTTGAACAGACCTGAATCACCGCTACCTAAGAATGCGTCCATATAAATATTACAAGTAAGATAAGGCTAGGTAGAGGTTTTTTATGCAAATGAGCAAACGAAAATACATAATTTGTGTAATTTTACACAGAAAAAGTTCGAGCTTATTATACCCCCCGCTTGAAAAGCGGGAGGGTATATAGTAATCGTTAATTCCGTCCGTCTGTCCGTCTGTTACGCTTTGGGGTACCCATCTCTTATCCGCAACTACTCCCATACCACTGAATGAAATTTGATGAAACTTTCGCAGAATCTTTATTACATATTGCCATTGTGCACCTCTTATTTTACTTTTTGATCTGACACATATTTTTGGTTTCCCGGCCACAGGAAAACATGGACTTTTTCACCATTTATAACCATATGGGAGGCGGGGGGTATCATTTAGTGAGCTCATCGCGCACAGTACCTCTAGTTATATATCATTTTTAAGACATTTAGCGATGTATTCAATTAGCGAAAGCATCTTTCCGCCAAAAGTGCTGAAATGAATACATCGCCAAATGTACTACTTTTACAATAATAGCTAAGCGTTTTCTCTATTGATAAAAAACTATTAAACTTATATCGGAAATTGAATTTCTTTCCGCTTTCAACTTTAAACATTTAAAATAGTAACTAAACAATTGCACTGTCGACATTTGTACATCGATATCATAATTCCTTTAATATTCTGCGTCATATAATACCTTGTTTCCGAGGAACAAAGTAGATTATACCCTTGCGCCGAAGCTACATGTATTTTGTTGATGTTCCTTATAAACTTGTGTAGTAGAGGTCTTTGATGTCATAATATTAGGCCTTTCAACTAGTTTTTCAAGTTGCACATATGGTGAAAAACATTGTATAGATAGATTTATAGGTACATAAAATTATCAAAAAAGATAATAACTTGTTCATACTTTTTTAATTACCTCATTAAAAAGTTTAATCATTTATACTTGACTTTTCCGATGTTGTGTTTTAGGACAGGTAACTCAGGTGTGAAAAATGACCAACTTAGTGCCGATTTGTGAGTTATCGTTTATAGGAATGACATATAGGCTGCTTCAGCATTGGTATTGTAATATACACAAAAGGGTTCCTTCCTTACATTGTTTTGTTCACAATAAAGAGAATGACATCTCTCTACCTGAAATAAGAGGGTCAAATGAATGAACAGACTTTATTCAATAGTTTAACTCTCTTAGACGATTATTATGAAGAAGAAAATTTAATGTCATGTTTTTTGTGTTCGCGCTTTTTCGCTTTCTATGTAAATATATATATATATTTACAATTAAATGCAACAATTGATCATCTTATTTGTGTTACTAAGCACGAAGGGGAACGACCGAGTATAAAAAATTAAATAGGTTAGAACTTAGAAGGAGGGTAAATTTCACTTTTTATTTTAATTAAAAATTTTAATTATTTGCAGTAAACCGGTGTCTGCAACTATAAAGTAAATAAGTTTAACATTGGTGCTAAATTTTAAAACCACTAGATCCTACTGAAAGCAAAGAAACACCTGAAAAATGCTAAAAACTGCCTTGCGTATAAACAGTTAGATACCCCGAGCCTGCTCTAAACAAGTTTCAGCAGCGAGTTATCGTTCATAACACCGACCCCTAGCGGCAGTTGAAAGGCCTAATAATATTATGTCACAATGTGCACTGGCTATAAAGCATGTCGTGGGTACCAAGTTTGTATAATGAAACAAGTATTAACTTTTTCTTCGCAATAAATTCGGCCCTAATGCTTTTTGAATAGTCAATTCATAGAAACCTGTATATGTTGCCTTAACTTAATTGAGATGATCATTCATGCCTTTGCTATTCTTGAAAAGAAGAATTTTAAAGAATTTTTATGTATATTTCAATGTAAAACTTTGATCTGCCATTGACCCCCCCTTACCCCCAGGGATCATGATTTGATCAAACTTGAATTTCCACTACCTGAGAATTCTTCGAAATAAATAAGACCAATAATGCCTTTGCTATTCTTGAGAAGAAGATTTTTTAAAATAAAATACCTATATATATCTACAGTTAAACTTTATTGGCCCCACCCTACCCTGGGGGTCATGATTTGAACAAACTTGAATCTAAACTACCTGAGAATGCTTCCATATGAGTTTCATTTTTCCTTGCACAATTATTCTTTAAAAGTAGATTTTTAAAGAATTTCCCTATACATTTTTTATGTTAAACTTTGATGTATTCTGGAAATTGAACAAACTTGAATCTACACTAATTGAGGATGCTTCCCTACATCTGGTACAAAAGTAGAGAGTTTTGCTACACATTTCTATGTAAATCTTTGATCAGCCATTGTGGCCCCGCCTTAACCCCAGGGGTCATGATTTGAGCAAACTTGAATCTACACTATGATGCTTCAATATAGATATGATCTTTCCTGCCTTTGCTATTCTTGAAAAAAGATTATTTAAGGATTTTCCTATATATATCTATGTAAAACTTTGTTCTGTCATTCTGGGCCCGCCTTATCAATTGGGGTCAAATGAACATACCTGAATCTACAACCCGAAAATGTTGTGTTTTAGGACAGGTAACTCAGGTGTGAAAAATGACCAACTTAGTGCCGATTTGTGAGTTATCGTTTATAGGAATGACATATAGGCTGCTTCAGCATTGGTATTGTAATATACACAAAAGGGTTCCTTCCTTACATTGTTTTGTTCACAATAAAGAGAATGACATCTCTCTACCTGAAATAAGAGGGTCAAATGAATAGGGAACAGACTTTATTCAATAGTTTAACTCTCTTAGACGATTATTATGAAGAAGAAAATTTAATGTCATGTTTTTTGTGTTCGCGCTTTTTCGCTTTCTATGTAAATATATATATATATTTACAATTAAATGCAACAATTGATCATCTTATTTGTGTTACTAAGCAAGGGGAACGACCGAGTATAAAAAATTAAATAGGTTAGAACTTAGAAGGAGGGTAAATTTCACTTTTTATTTTAATTAAAAATTTTAATTATTTGCAGTAAACCGGTGTCTGCAACTAAACAGTAAATAAGATTAACATTGGTGCTAAATTTTAAAACCACTAGATCCTACTGAAAGCAAAGAAACACCTGAAAAATGCTAAAAACTGCCTTGCGTATAAACAGTTAGATACCCCGAGCCTGCTCTAAACAAGTTTCAGCTGTGAGTTATCGTTCATAACACCGACCCCTAGCGGCAGTTGAAAGGCCTAATAATATTATGTCACAATGTGCACTGGCTATAAAGCATGTCGTGGGTACCAAGTTTGTGTAGTATTAACTTTTTCTTCGCAATAAAGCCCTAATGCTTTTTAAATAGTCAATTCATAGAAACCTGTATATGTTGCCTTAACTTAATTGAGATGATCATTCATGCCTTTGCTATTCTTGAAAAGAAGAATTTTAAAGAATTTTTTTGTATATTTCAATGTAAAACTTTGATCTGCCATTGACCCCCCTTACCCCCAGGGATCATGATTTGATCAAACTTGAATTTCCACTACCTGAGAATTCTTCGAAATAAATAAGACCAATAATGCCTTTGCTATTCTTGAGAAGAAGATTTTTTAAAATAAAATACCTATATATATCTACGTTAAACTTTCATTGGCCCCACCCTACCCTGGGGGTCATGATTTGAACAAACTTGAATCTAAACTACCTGAGAATGCTTCCATATGAGTTTCATTTTTCCTTGCACAATTATTCTTTAAAAGTAGATTTTTAAAGAATTTCCCTATACATTTTTTATGTTAAACTTTGATCGGTCAATGTAGCCCCACCCCTGGAAGCCCTGATTTGAACAAACTTGAATCTACACTAATTGAGGATGCTTCCCTACATCTGGTACATTGGTTCTGGAGAACATTCCCTAGAGAGTTTTGCTACACATTTCTATGTAAATCTTTGATCAGCCATTGTGGCCCCACCCTATTGTTGGGGGTCATGATTTGAGCAAACTTGAATCTACACTCCCCGATGATGCTTCAATATAGATATGATC